TTCAAACCCACCAGCCACTCCTCGGAAGGAAGGTTGGGCATTCCTACTTCCATAGTGATACTGCCTCGGAAACCCAAGGAGGGATCGCTATGAGTCAGGGCCAACTCAATGGCAAACAACAACAACAAACAACAGGCATAATTCTAAGGCGCTCTGGTGGTGTAATGGATAAGGATTTGGCTGCTAACCAGAGAGAGGGTCAGTGGTTCAAACCCACTAGTTGCTCCACAGAAGGAAGGTGGGGCAATCTACTTCTTTAAAGATTTACAGCCTTGGGAACCTAATGGGGTCACTGTGAGTCAGAATTGACTCAATGGCAGTGTGTTTGGGGGTTTTTTAGGCATTATTTCGGGAGTTCCTGTATGCAAACAATTAATGCACTTAATTGTTAACCAAAAGACTGGAGGCTCAAGTCCACCTGGAGTCATCTAGGAAGAAAGGCCTAGTGATTTCCAAAAAAATCAGCTATTGAAAACCTTATGGAGCTCAGTTCTACTCTGACACACATGGGGTTGCCATTAGTTGGAGTCAAGTTGACTGCAACTGGTAACTAATATTACTATTCTAAATAGCTTAGTCAAAAGCCTCAAAATCAGCCCTATGGAATTGCATCTAGTAATATCCCATTTTACAGATGAAAAACTGAGGCACAGACAGATTAACTAACTTCCCACAGCCACACACAGCTGGTGGTAGAGCTGGGTACTTTGTGCTCAAATATGCATTTGTAACCATTTTATTTGTTGGCTAAGATCTTAGGTGCTAGCTCTTTAATCCTGAAGAAAATTGACTATACAATTAATTAAAACAATATGTGATTTATTGACAAGGACGGTTCTGTTTAATAGCTTTGCTATGTTGCAGGTGGACATGCAAAGGGAAGTCATATTGACAGGGATCCAGACCCAAGGTGCCAAACACTACCTGAAATCCTACTACACTACTGAGTTTAACGTGGCTTATAGTTCTGATCGTAGAAGCTGGCAGATCTTCAAAGGGAACAGCACAAGAAACGTGATGGTCTGTAGGATATTTCTATCTAAATCTCAAAACTCAGTTCAGGGTTACTATGATTATGTTTATGACTGCTTTTTTTTCTAAAAAGAAAATATATTTCTGGATTTAGAGATGTGAATGACTTTCTATAAGTCTTATGGAGGAATGTGATGTTGTAATGGATCTGTGTATTACAAATTAAATGGATAAGCTTGACTTCTGAAACTTCACAACCCAACAAAACTTGCAAAATCAGTTTACCATCAAACAATATGCCAGCTTCTCAGTTAAGCAGATGGTGTACAGCAGAGTGAGGTAGCTAGTCTTCTACCTCGAGGAGCTTATGCTAAACATTGGCCACCAAGAGTTTTACTAAGTTTTATAATGTTACTAAGTTTTATTTTGTCCTTATTTTATGAAACAGTGGTGGTAATGTCAGTAAAACTCTAAAGGAGTGTGACTCTCACACTTTTTTTTTTTTTTTTTTTTTT